GTCCTCAGCCTCCTGTCCTCCGGGCTCTGCTGTCCAGCGTAGGGATGCTGGCCGCGTCTCCAGGAGATGCACAGCAGCTGATGGTGTCCTGGAGGGGACCGGCGGCGGGTTGCTGGCTCCTCCTCTGAGACCGGGAACCGCTTACCTGGCCTCCCAGGCCTCGCTTTCCCCCACTCGTAGGGTGACCTGCTGGGTCCGCCCGGGGTCGGTATCCACAGGTGGCGGATCTTTTCCTTTCTCCTCTAGCTTTCAGGGTCACTGCCTCTTGAGCACCCCAGCATGGTGATTTCTGTCCTCCATCCCTCCCTCACCCTGCCCCAACCTCCAGTCCAACCTTGAGCCTGCTTTCCTCCCAGCCCTACGGCTCTGTCAGTGCCCCTGATGGCCCCCTCCGTGGGCCTTTCTCCCAACAGAGAGCAGTGACCTGGGCAGGGCTACTGCTTCACTGGTCAGCTCAGGGTCCCCTCCTGGACATGGGTGCCCTATTCCCACTCTTGGAGCATCTTACTCCTGTCCCTTCTTCACACCCACCCCCTGGCCACCCCAGGGCCAGAGTCTGCCTGGTCACCTCTGCTGAAGAACACTGGGCCACCCTGGAGAGGGGATTCTGAACGGAGAAAACTTACAGCAGCTTTTTATCTCAGGACAGTTTCCTTAGAGGAGTGTCAGGAACCAGCCAAGGAACCTGGCAACGATGGCCCAGCTACGTGAGGCCAACAGACGTGATTACCACACAGGATGTTGGGCAAGGGAGTTCCAGGAAGACCGGAGAGCAGAGGGACACCAAGCTCTCTGAGCCTCAGCGAAGATTTAGGTCATACCAGCAGAGTCTGGGGTGAGCAGGAGGGTCCAAGGCATGGGATCAACCAAACAGGACAGGGGTGGAGCTTAGGGCCCTGCCTAAATCCCATAGCCCTGCGAAACACAGCTGTGAAAACCGGGACCAGGGAAGGCACAGGTGGGAGTGGACAGGTGCCCAGAGACTGAGATGAACCAAGGGACGTTTCCCAGACTTCTATGCACCATCCGTCACAGGGTGACCTGTTACCTTGAGAACCTCAGAATTCTGTTCGTGTTTCTATTCATCAATAAATCCTTATCTTAATGATAAAAAATACAATAGCCCCCAACCCTGTCAGCTTCACTAGCTTTGTAAGGAAATGCCCCCGTGCCCGCTTCACTGGGTATGGTGGGGCGGGGGCTGAGGAGGGACGAGCCCAGGTGTCGCACCTGTTCTCCCAGTGGTCTCTCCTCTCCCGCGCCACTGTGAGATGATCTGCCTCTGCTTCCTCACCTGGTCTCATCTCAGTCTCGTCCCGCCTCTAGTTGGACCTGGGCCATTGTTTCGCTGTGTCCACCTTGGAAACCAGTTGATCTTGCTAACTCCGACCCCAGCCACCAAGGGGTGAGTCTTGCTTCCCAGTAACCAACATCTACAGCCCTGTCCATGCGGGCCTCGTGATTGGCTCCAGCCCCTTGGCCTCTCTGAAGTTCTGTCCATCCATCTCTGTGCCAACTGCAGCCACTAGACACAGCTGGCCACCAGGACCGCCGTCACCAGGAACCAGGTGTGCCCGCGGCCCTGTGCCCCAGGAGGAGGGGAAACCCTGTGACCAGATTGTCTGTGGTTTGTCGCATGCTGCATGAGGAAGGCCTCGGGGCAGGTCATGGAGCGACTTAGGTTTGGATTTTCCTTCCTGGTCTTTGAACTTGGAATAGGCCAAAGCCAGGGTTAACTCAGCCAGCTTCAAACCATGGAAAGTGAGGCCCGGCGAGATGAATGACTCACAGAGCTGTCTGTGGAGTTAGAAATAAAGTCACGTTGCAGTTTCTATTTTCAGGTACCACTCCCTAAGTCAGCGCTACTTGCTGGCTCCGTGCTTTTCGCAGGGGGTAGGAGGGGAGGGAACAGGTGCCGTAGATTTCAGCCACATCTAGATCTTCCCATCCCCGGACACGAGGTGTCTCAGAACTCTTTTTTTTTTTTTTTTTTAATTTTTCACAATTGGCTTCGTAAAGTAGTGATGATTTAGTTTTTATTGCTGCCACAACAGTTTACCACAATTAAGCGCAGGTTTATTTTCTCACTGTTGCAGAGGTCAGAAGTCGGACCCGGGCCCCACTGGGGTGAGGTGCTACGTGGAAAAGCCATTTTCTTGTTCACACAGTGCATTAGGCACTTTCTGCTGCCCAGGGCAGAATTCAGTGCCTTGTGGTTTTAAGAATAAAATCTCCATTTTCCTTCCGGCTTCAGCTGAGAGTATCCCAGCTAGGAATATCCTTGGTTTGTGGGGCCTCCCTCCATCTGCTAGGCCAGCAATGGAAGGTGGGGTGCCGAAAATTCCTCCTTCTTTTATCAGGGTCACCTCTGACTCGGCTGGGAAAGGGTCTCTGCTCACTGGACTGGATTAGGGACATCTGTGTAATCCAAAATACTTTCCCCATCTCAGAAGCTGTACCCTTAATCACCTGGACTCCTTTAAGGAGTTGTTACTTTTCCTACCACAAATTATAAATTTACAGATGATTCCAACCCGCCCCCCTTGTGTGTGTGGGTGGGGGGTGGGGGTGTTCCTGGGAATTGAACTTAGGGCCTTGCACGTGCTAGGTGTGTGCTGTACTTTTGAGCTCCATCCCCAGCCCTTTTTATCTTTTATTTTGAGACAGGGTCTCACCAAGTTGCCCAGCCTGGCCTTAAACTTGTGATCTTTCTGCCTGAGCAGCTGGAATTACAGGCTCAACCCCTCTTGATTATGCAGCATCTTTATCACATCAATTTTTATAAGAACCTTATTGAGGTAATAAGATAACCTTATTCGCATTCTATACAATTCACTGGCTTAAATGTGCAACTCAGGGGTTTTTAGTATGTTCAGTTGTGTGACCATCTCCACAACCAAACTTAGAACGTTTTCATCACCCAGACAGGGATCCCTGTACCCATTAGAATCACTGCCTATTTTCCCCCAAACTTCTAAAATCACTAATAGGTTTTCTGTCTTTGTGGACTTGCAGATTCTGGACATTTCATAGAAACAGACCGTACAAATGAGGCCTTTTGTGTCTAAACATACTTGTGTCTGTCTGTATGTTTTCAAGGATCCTATGTATTATAGCATGTATCAGCATTTCACCCCTTCTCATTGCTAAATATATTTCATTGTGTATTCTTATGAAATAATATTTAATTGTGATTAATTTAATTGTACTTAAATGAATAATGTTTAATTAAATAAATAATGTTTAATCGCGTGGATCAAACACGTTCGCCGAGCCATTCATCACTTGATGGACACTGGGGTTGTCTGTACTTTCTGACTGTTAGAAGCCACGCAGCCATGGACATGTGTGGGCATGTTTTAGGTGGACACATATCTTCATTCTTCCTGGGCATATTCTCAGGCAGGACAAAGGGTCATAGGGTCACCCTATTCTAGGCTCGGAGCCACCATGCTCTTCTCCAAAGTGGCTCCATCTTTCTTGCTCCCCCGAGTGATGCACAAGATTCCAGTTTCTCCACATCCTCGTGAGCACTTGCCACCCTCTGAGTTCTGGGTCACAGCCATCCCAGTGGGTGTGAAGGGGCTCCACTGTCACTGTGACTCCCTGACAGCCCACGACGGTGTCTTTCCTTGTACTTATCGGCCATTTTTTTTTTTTTTTAAAGAGAGAGTGAGAGAGAGAGGGGGACAGAGAGAGAGAGAGCATTTTAATATTTATTTATTTTTTCTTAGTTCTCGGCGGACACAACATCTTTGTTGGTATGTGGTGCTGAGGATCGAACCCGGGCCGCATGCACGCTAGGCGAGCGCACTACCGCTTGAGCCACATCCCCAGCCCACTTATCGGCCATTTGGGCATCTTCTTTGGAGAACTGAGTTAGTTTCTCTGCCCATTTCGGCTGAGCTCAGTTTTCCTTAGTTGTTAGCGTCCCTTCTGTATCTAGGTATAAATTCTTTACCAGATACATGATTATTTGCAATTTTTTTCTGCCCTTCTGTGAGTTGTCTTTTTACTTTCCTGATGGAGTCCTTTAAGGTGGAAACATGGTTAATTCTAATGATGACCAATTTATCTATTTTTCCTTTTCAGCTTGTGGTGCTGGGGATGGGGCCAGGACCCCCCACGTGCAGGGCGAGTGCTCTCCCACCCAGCTGCGCTCCCAGTCCCTATTTTTATTTTTCCTGATCCAATGTCATGAAGATTTTTTCTTGTCTTCTAAGAGTTTAACAGTTTGGGCTATTCTATTTAGGTGTTTGGGGGGTTTTCTTTTCTTTTTGGTGGTGCTGGGGTTGGAACCCAGGGCCTCATGCATGCTAGGCCAGTGCTCTCCCACTGAGCCCCACCTCATACCCCCACGTTGCAGCTTTTGGTCATTTTTGGTTATATTTTTGTATGTGATGGGAGGTGGGAGTCTGATTTCCCTCTGTGGCATGTGCATATCCAGTTGTCCCAGGATGCAACTGTTGGACTGTCACATGCTGCGTTTGTTCAGAGAGATGCACAATACCAACAGGACCAAAGCACCTGCCTCGTCCAGTGAGACAGACCCTGGCTGACCAAGACCTAGCAAATAAAAGACCCTTTAAAAGGGACTGTCCAGTGAGCACAGTGAGATCTCAGGAGCCAGGGCCATCAGGTCCCGTGCGGGGGGGGGGGGTCCCCTTTGCTCTGCACATGGCACGTGTAACTCTGAGGATGCTGTCTGCAAGCGGCCACTCGGCCACAGTCTGAAGAGGTCTGCATGCCCTGGGGTGGAAGGGAAGCCGCTGGTGCTGGTGCTGCCTGAGCCAGGTCTCAGGGGAAAGAGCTCCACATTCTGCTTGCAGCTTCCTGGGGTGGGGGCTGAAGAGGTAAAAGAAGAGAGAGATGGGGGAGCAGTTGGCCTGAGTGTGAGCCAGACAAGGACCTGAGTAAGGAAGCAAGAGGCACCTGGACAAGGTCAACACTCCTTGCCTTAAGCTTCCAGAGGGGGAAGATGAAATGAAGAGACAAAGTGCTGGCAGCCACCGCAGACATCTCTGCACCAGCTGGAGCTGCATCGTGTCCTCTGGGCCAAGTGGAGACGCAGCCTGGGCACCGCCAAACCAGGGGTGAGCCTGGGGTCTGGGGAAGGACAAGGCACCCTTGCAGGAGAATGTGATGGTCAGCAGGACCTCAAGAGACCCAGCGGCTTCCCGTTGGCCTCTCCAGGAAGCAGGCGCTGTCTGTCTTCCCCAGGACTAGACTGCAGTGGCCTGGTCTGGGGCCAGGAGTCTGGGAGCCTCTGATGAGCCGGCAGTTCCCCAGTGTCTGCAGGGTCACGGCAGGGGACAACTCTGCGCTCATCGGCCCCCAGCACTCCTCCAATCCCAGCAATGCAGGTAAGATGCCCCTCGTCCATTCAACCAATTGCACGTGCGAGGCACCGTGCTCGGGGCACAGCCTGGGTCAGGAGCTTCACTTCCACTCCAAGCCGGGGTGCAAGGTGGGGGGATGGATAATAAGCAGCAGAACGTCGCGAGTGCCACAAAGAGAATAAAACCTAGCCCTGGGTCAGGACCTCTGGCTGTGTACTTCCAGGCGTGATAGTTGACGGAGACCGAAGGGAAAGAGGCTGGACATGCAGAGATGGCAGAGGCCCCCAGGCTGGGGCATCCCTGAAGAACGGAAAGGAAGCTGAGCCAGAGCACTGAGCAGAGGTGCCTTGAGAGCAGGTGGCAGGGCCGTGGAGCCACCGTGGAAACCCTGGGCTTCATTCTGATTTGTAACAGAAGGCTCTGGGAATTATTAAATTAGAAAGTGACACAACCAATTTTCATTGAGAAAAGTGCTGCATCCCTGGGTCATGGGCCTGGGGAGAAGCTTGGCTGGGCCCATGGTGGAGCCTAGAAACCCGGGTGCATGGCTCCGAGGTGCGCTCAAGTGTAGGTTTGGGACTGGGAGTGTAACTCAGTGGGAGAGCACCTGCTGAGCCTGAAGAAGACCCCCGCTTCCATCCCCAGCACTGCAAAGAAAAAAAAAAAAAAGGAAAGAAGGAAAAAAAGACTGTTACATTTGCAGACCTTAACAAGTGGGAGCATGGCACACCATGGGGTGCCACACAGGAAGCCGCAGAGTGGGTGGGGGAAGAGAGAATGAGTGGGAAACGGAGGCAAGAGCCTGCATCGTGGACTGTGCTGTGAGGAACTGGGAGGCAGGGTGAGCAGCCTCAGGACTGCATATGTGGATCCTGTCAGCAGGCTCCAGGCAGAGGGACTGGATTAATTTGTTTTTAGTTGCTGTAACAAAATACCTGAAACCGGGTCCTTTATAAAGAAAAAAATGTTTCCTTAGCTCACAGTTTGGTAGATCTAAGAGCATGATGCCCCTTTGACAATATCACATGTCAAATGGCGTCATAGTGGAGCTCCTGTGAGATGCAGATATCACATGGACAGACAGGAGGCCAGAAGATGGGGAGGCTCAGGATTCCTCCTTTAGAGCAACCCACACTTATGAGAGCAACCAGGGTGCCGTGAGGACTACCTTATCCCTTCTGATGGCAGTGGATGGTCGTTTGAAAGGAACGAGGATGCAAAGCTTCCCGTGAGCCATTTAGAAGCCGCCCTGGGCTTACCATTTCAGCAGCTATGATTTCCAGGTGGCTCTCCCCTGTCCAAGGCCACAGCCCAGGAACTGGATGCTTCTAGATCTGCGATAGGAGATGCTGCCGTTTGATGCTAAATGTCCTTCAAAGGTCCATGTGTTGGAGTCTTGGTCCCCTGGGTGGCATTATTAGGAGGTGGTGGCACCTTGGAGAGGTGGGGCCTAGGGGGAGGGCTAAGGTATTTGGAAGGGAGCCCTTGAAGGGATTATTGGGCCCCGCCTCTTCCCCTTCTGCTCCCCAGCCGTGGCCCGAGAAGTCTTGCTCCCCGCATGCTCCCACCCTGATGCCCTGTCTCGTCACTGGCCCAAAGCAACAGGGAACTATCACGGACCGAAACCTCTCAAGCATAAGCCCAAGTGAACCTTTTTTCTTTATAAGTTGGTTTTCTCCGGTACCTGTTACAGTGAAGGAAAAGTGCCGGCACAGGGACCTCTTTGTAGCAGTTTAATGGACGCCTTTCCGACATGCAGCTCTTGACCATGTAAATAATGCCTTCTGGCCTTTTTTTTTTTTTTTTTTTTTGAGAGGGGTTAGGGGTTATTTTATCAAATTCAGTGACAGAACCAGTAAATAACAGTCAACTCTTTTTAAAATCAAGATTAAGAGACTAGAGTAGGTCAGGGTGCAGCTCCATGGTGGAGCACTTGCCTAGCAGGTGTGGGCCCTGGGTTTGACCTCAGTCCTGAAACAGAAAAATGGGGCCCATGTACGACACCCTGTGAATGTTCAGTAAAACGTGATCCGTTTGGAGGCACAGCCTCCGCGGAAGGCTGGACGGGGATGGAGATGGCCCTAGAGAAGCCTCAGGAGCTCTTGCCTGGGACACAGCCTGGCCCTGGTGAGCGACCCAGTGAGCGGGGTCCTGGTCCTGCGGTGGGCGTTCCCAGGAGCCACCGCGTGGGGAACACTGGCGGCTGCTGAGAAGCCCGTAGGGGGGCCCGGGTGAGGACGGAGATGGCCGCGGACACCTGCAGACATGGTGGTTCACAGGAGAGCAGCTGCGGTGGTTTTCAGCCTTTCTGTTTTGTGGGGAGGGTCCTGCCAGCTAGACTCTGAACACTCGGCCCTTCCTCAGCACCTCGTTAGCTAAAAGATCTTTGTCGGATCCACTGTTATTTTTTACCCACGTGAAGTCACATTTGGTTGGGTGTCGAAGGATGCCGGCAAGAGAATGGAAAGACAGCCCACCGAAGGGGAGAGAAACACTTGGAAACCGTCCGCTAAATGTGTGGACTAAGTAGGTAGCCAGCCACACAGTGGAGTGCTACTCAGCCCTGAAGAGGAATACAGCCCTGACACAGGCCGCACCACAGGTGAACCCTGAGGACTTTGTGCTAAAGGAAAGAAGCTGATCACGGCAGGCAAACTACTGTGCGATTCCACTCCCGTGCCATCCCCAGAGTGGCCAAAGTCACAGGGACAGTCAGGAGAACAGTGGGGGGCCAGGGCTAGGAGGAGAGGCAGCGGGTTTAGTGTTCAATGAGTACAGTTTCTGCTGGGGCAGATGAAGAAGTTCTGCAGGTGGAAGGTGGTGACGACTCAATACTCAGCGCCTCTGAATTATAAATTTTCAAACGGTCAAAATGGTGAATTTTATATCTGTCTATTTTATCATATTTACTTTTGTGCAGTGCTGGATTGACCTGGGCCTTGTGCATGCTAGGCAAGTGCTCTACCACCAAGCTTCACCTCCAAACCCACATTTTTCTTTAATTGCTTAAAAAGAAAGAAAGAAAAAGCACCTTTGGGGCAGCGTCCCACAAGGCAGAAGCAGGAGTCACGGGTTTGTGCAGTTTTTTTTTCCTTGAACCTCCTGGTTCTCGCGCTCTGGGTTAGGAGCCCAAGACCAGCGGCCTTCCCCCTACATTTGTGTGGAGTTTTATTGCTGGGACAGCGGTCATATCCACGTGGCAAACACAGGGTTCACTTCAAAGGTCCAGTTCTCGTCTCCATTTCTGTGTCCCTTCAACGCCTGGAAGAGGCCTGTGTCACCTGTATTTTATTTTTATTTATTTACTAGACGGTATTGGGGCTAGAACCCAGGGCCTAGCCCAGGCTAGTCTTGCGCTCTGCCTCCGAGCTCCCTCCCAGCCCTTTTTATTTTCTATTTTGGGACAGGGTCTCACTGAATCGCCCAGGCTGGCCTCTAATTTGTGATCCTCCTGCCTTGGCCTCCCGAATAGCTGAGATTGCAGATGCCAGCCCACCTGCAGGTTTGTCGTAGAGGGTTCATTACATGGTGGCTTAAGTCAGAGATGAGTCTGGTATGGAAGCATGGTGAGTCCCTGGCACAAAACGAGAGGCACGTGGATTCCAACATGCACCAAGATCTCTGAAACGCATCTTCCCAGAACCCATGCGATATTCTCCTGACGCTTCTAGGGTTCGGTGTCCTGTGGATGGGGCCTCTGGTAAGCTTATCTCTGCCAAATCCTGACGTTGGGCAAGGTTAGCAGGAAGCTGCGGGTCCTTGAAGGAATTCGAATCACAAATAGAACATTAATGAGCAGTGGCTTTCGGGGGAACTAGCTCCAGTAAACAGGTACTTAGAGGTGAGGCGGGAAGCGTGAAGGGAGTTCTAATTAATGCATGTGCTAATTGTGCTAATCGCAGTGGGGAGAGGAACCCTAGCAGATATTTTAAAAGCTTTGCGGGTAGCTGTTGAGTTGAGCCAGTGGGATTCCTGGGGCTGCAGAAGACCTTGTCTCCCCTGGGGCTGGGGCAAAGCATTCCAATGTTCTTATTGGCCTTTTCCTCTCCGGTTATGAGTTACGATGTTCAGTCCCATGGAGGAATTGGGACCCCAAAATGGCAGCTTCTCCCGGGGGGAGGGACCTGGTGAGAGGTGCCGTTTCCCCACCGACTGGCCGTGCTTTAGACAGGAGGACGGGGAGGCTTAACTTGTCCCTCAAGGCTGCCGCTCCTGTCCCCAGGGTTGGCAGGTGATTCCGCTCATCACAAGTGACACTCGAGGGTCTTTTAGGACCCTCCAACTCCACATCTCTCAAGGGCTGTTCTTCTGATTGCTGTGAGCACGCGGCCGCTGGCTGGCCTTGAGCTTGTGATTCCGCCCCCAGCTTCTGGAGATGAGAAGTTACACCCCAGACTTTGTCCCCATCCCCTTGGGAAAAACCTAAGACTTCCCAGTCTGCAGCCGAGGTCCTAGGACCCCAGGACAGGCTCGGGAAAGAAAGCCACCGCCAGGGGCCGCTGTGGCCGGACGCCGGTCCCCACCCTTAGGTCCCTGGGTGGGAATGGCTTCCAGGCTGTGGAATTCAGAGCCCGGGGGACGCTGCCTGCTCTCGGACTTCCCCACTAGGGAGAGACGTCCTGCTCCTCCACGAGACGACGATACCCACGAGACTCTGGCCCTTGCTCTAAAACACACTCTTTCCTTAACCTCAAATCTGCTGAACGGAGTTTCTTCTTCAAAGTGGACGTTGAGCTAAGGGATGCCCCCCCATGCCCCGACGCCCACCTTGGCCGGTGAGCCAGGTCCTCCACACCTGCTGGGTGCCATCTCCTACCTAATTAGGAAGGGCTGGGCGCCTCCTCCGGTCCTCTGGGCGCACACCCCGCGAACCCAGCCCTGACAGGCCCCCTCACCTGTCCTTGGTCTCCCAGTCCAGCACAGCGCCTGCTCCCAATTACCCCCCGGGGAGGGAGGGGGAGAGCGGACGCCAGGAACTGATTCTTCAAGGAGTTTATGCTTCTCCTTAAAGGAAATCTTTTAATTGGATGTTAGATATAAAAAATTCCATCTGCTGCTTTATTTGATCACTTTCTGTTACATGAGATGCTGCCCTTGGTGGCTTAGAAACACAGCGAGTGACGGCAATAAAGTGACACAGCAGGCTCATTAAATCTGCTGTAGTTTAAATAGTGGACCCTGACATGCCCCCTAGAAGGGCCAGGTTTCCTCATCGCGAGGTAAGAGCTCCGCATTCCACCGAGGCAACTTGCCTGTCCAACGTCCACTCTCCCCGAGTTAACAGGCTGCAGTGTGGTTGGCAGTGGGGTGACACGACGTTACTTCTCTTGCAATTGCCACACGGATAAGTTCTAGGCAATGAGACATAAGCAAAAGTTATCAGGTAGAACATATAAAAAACAGAGACAGGTGGCGAGCGTGTGTGTGTGTGTGTGTGTGTGTGTGTGTGTGTGTGTGTTCACATTCTTCTTCCCCTTGTCTCTCGTTAATGGAACAACTGGAGCTCCGGCAACTCTTTTGGCTTAATGAGGTGATTGTGAGAATGAAGTCACAGGCTAAGGATGACAGAAGAGGAAGGTAGGAGGAGCCAAGGTCCCTCCTGACAACACCAAGGAGCTGCCAGAGACCTCATTTTTGATACCAGGGATTGAACTCAGGGACACTCGACCCCTGAGCCACAACCCCAGCCTTATTTTGTATTTTATTCAGAGACAGGGTCTCACTGTAAGTTGCTTAGTGCCTCACTGTTGCTGAGGCTGGCTTTGAACTTGCGATCCTCCTGCCTCAGCCTCCTGAGCTGCTAGGGTTACAGGTGTGCACCCCTGTGCCTGGCTTGGAGTATTTTGAAGTGGTGGGGAAATGAGGTTGTATTTTGTTTAAGATGTCATTCCCTGCTCTGTCCCCAATACAGTCCTCGTGGATCCTGTTAGAAGGGATCACCTGGGGACCAATCATTTCATTTTTCCCCACTTGGGAAGGAAATGTCTGTAGCCTGCATTGCGCATCTTGTCTTCTCAAACGAGGCATATAGTGAACATATGGTTCTGGGTAAAATACCAGATGCCCAATTCGATCTGAATTTCAGATAAACAACAAATAATTCTTTAGTAAAAGCATATCCTAAATTTTGCACGGGACACACGAGTACTAAAAGATAACTCACAGCTTTCCTGAAGTTTGGATTTAACGGGGAGTCCTGTGATTCAGTCGGCTAACTCTGGCAGCCCTCACAAGCAGAGGACTTCTCTCTGTTGCCCCGGGTGCAGGGCCCACCAGGCTCTGTGTGGCTCTCGCCCCAGGTGAAGTGGGCCAGCCGGTCGCTCTGCCCCCTCCCTCTGGAGACTGTCCTGTCTCTTCCTAGGGCACAGCTCGCCCGGAGACTGCTCTCGGCAGTCTGTCTGTCTGTCACGGCCTCTTCCCTATTTGTTCATTTATTTTTCTTCTTATCTTGGTTCTGGGGGTCAACCCAGCGCCTCGCATGGCTGGCCAGCCCTCCACCCCGAGTTCCACTCCAGCCCCTGACCATTTATGACGCCCCCGGTAACCTGGTGCCCTGAGCGGCTCCAAGTGCCCCTGCTTTTTGCTCCGGGTCCTTGGGCAAGTCGCTTGCCCTGTCTGAGTTTGGATTCCCTCCTGTAGAGTTAGGGGAGAGAGGGAGCAGAGTCCCTGTCCCTTGTAGGCACTCAGTGAAGGGGACTAATCACTGTGGGGTGAGCCCAGCGACCGTAAAACCAAGGCGGTGAGCAGGCTCTGAGCAGAGAGCGGTCCTGGGGCCTCGGGAGCCGTGGGCCGGGGTGGGCGGGGCGGGTGAGGGGCAGGGGGGCCCACCACAGCTGGGGCGGAGGACAGTGTGTGTCTGGAACAGGCTGAGTCCTGCCCCCCTAAACCCATGTGTCGAAGCCCTGATTCCCAGGACCTCAGAATGTGATTCTACTTGGGGACGGGGTCTTTCTAGAGGTCATTTTAAGGACCCCAAAGGAAGCTGGTGCTACGGAGTGAGCAAGAGAGGAGAGTGACCCAGGGGAGGCTGAGGCCAGAGTCCAGACCTCGCAGCCTCGTGGCTGGGTGAGGCCGGTGTGTTTTGTGCTGAGGCGAGGGGCAGCTCTGGAGGGACACGGGGCTGTGCATCAGGGAGGGGCAGGGTGACTTCCCCAGGCCATAACTGAGGGTGTCCTGTGGGCTCCTGGCAGCCAGCTGTCAATCACGGGGGCCAAATAGAAGTCTCCAGGAGACCGAGGTCCCCTCCAGGAACTGTCAGGGAGCGTTCCTCCCATCCCCCGTTCGTCTACAACTATTTATGGAGCCCTACTGTGTGCCAGGCAGGACTGGGACAGGCGAGGAATGCAGCATCCAGCCTCTCTGATGCAGGGCATAGCATCCCAGATAACAATCACGTACCTGTGTAAGGTCAGTGCCGAGGGATGAGTCGGGGCAGGGGACTCGGTGACGCGGCGGTGCTGAGGGGCCATTTTGAAGAAAACTGGCCCAGGGAGCACTCCTTTGTCAGGGATGTTTAGAGACAGACCAAGTGGTGTGGGCTCCGTGACAGAGAGAAAGGTACTCGTGGGAACCGCAGTGACAATGTCAAGGACCCCAGAGGGCCTCCCTGCAATGAAGGTAGCTTCCATTCGGTTGCAAGGGCTTAAGAGGTACCCATTGTTCCTTAGGGCACCTCCACCTTCCGTTACACACAGACAACCTTGAAAAGAATGTCCCGGGAGCCGTAAACCCCAGCATCTTCAGCATCTTAGCAAAGCACATGGACACCAGGTTGACCTTGAGTTTGGTTCAAGGACAAAGAAAAGGCCGAACAGTTCTGTGCAGTGAGGATGGAACTGTCATCTCTTCTTGGCTCTGCACTTACTACACGCTCAATAAACACTGATAAAACAGACAGGTGAGAAAAGCCCGCGGAGTGCACACGAAGCCTGGCCCCAGGTCTTTGGAGACATAGTTCTGCTTCAACACACCAAGAGCCACCGCAGAGCTGAGGAAGAAGCAGGAAACACCTGGCCTGCTTGGTTTGGCAAGGTTCTCACTGGTCACGAAAGGGTGTGGCTTCGTGAGCCGCGTGCCCTCCAGGGTAGCACTTCCACACAAGGCCACGGTCATGGTGAACTAGGGGAGGACTGGGGTGGGCAAGCCTGTCTCTTCTACTGACAGTGCACGCCACCATCTCCTTCCCCGGCCCGGGGCGGGGGCTGTGGTTTTGTGTTGGTGGAGAAAAGGCCGCGGGCATCAAAGAAAGCTTTACTCATCCGGAAAGAAAAGCCACTGTGACGCATTCCCATCCAGCCCCGACCCAGATGTTTTGCCATCCAAAGGCCAAGGGGCTTTCTGTGACTTAAGACGCAGGGAATCTTCCAGTGCAGAGCTGAGCTTAGCCAGCCCAGCCGGGCTCCAGGGAGGCTGCTCCGGGCTACTCCGGGCTCCATCTCATCCTGAGACGGGAAAGACCCTGACACTGACTCCAGAGCTTCTATTCTAGAGCATCTTCCAGGCAGATGATCACTTTCTCCATTTAACCTAGTTTTCTCCTGCTGTTACGGAAAATAAAAGAGACAGTGGGATTACTGCATGTCAACCTCGCACGAGACAGGCCGTGAGGAGACCCTGGCTGTGTCTGCCTTCTCTAGACTGTTCGTTGACACTCCAACAGGAGCTAGGCTGCACACACTTTTTTTTTTTTTTTTTAAATCGAGGTCTAACTTGACAGGGTCATTTACATGCTAGAGCTTGGTATTGACGAAAGGGAAGGGCCACCAGGTTTGTCAAAATGTGGCATGGAAAAATGTCCGTCTAACACAAGGACCTGAGAGACTGTGTCCAGAAGAGCCCAGTAGTTTCTGCTTTCTTTTTTTGATGTAAAAAATGAAGGCCCCGGCCAGGTGTGGTGGCACACACCTGTAATCCTGGCTGCTCAGGAGGCTGAGGCAGGAGGATAGTGAGTTGGAGGCCACTCAGCAACTTTGCAACCCTAAGCAATTCAGTGAGACCCTGTCTCTAAATAAAGAAAGGGCTGGGGATGTGACTCAGAGGTTAAGCACCTCTGGGTTCATTCCCAGGTACAAAAAAAAAGATTCTTCTTCATTACTGACCTGACAGGTATTTTGTTAATCACAACTGACCAAAAGGGATAGGTGTGCAGGGACATCTCACCTCCATTCTCAAGCTTAGGACAACCTGGGGTGCTGATCTGCACAGTGAACTTTCTTCCTATGTAGCCAAAGGCAGCAGAGGCCATTTCTGTGGAGGATGGCAAAGGAGGATGCCCAAAGTGTACATCCCCAAATGCCCAGTGAATACCAGGAAAAGACACAAAGCAGAGATGGTGGTTAGCTAAAAAATCAATGGCATAAAATTGAGACGGAGAAAAATCAGCAGACCCAGCATGATTAAGCAGAAGCAGAGTTAAGAGCCCAGATTTTGGAGCCAGATGGCCAAAATCCCGCCACCTATCAGCCGTGTCACCCAGACCTCCTTGGGCCTCGATTTCCTCAGCTAACCTGCCTCAGAGGGTGTTGTAAGAATTAAACACGTCAATACAGAAAGCACCAGAAAGAGGCCGAGCATGCTGTGGACGCTTGTTCGCTGTCCATTTCTCAAATGGAAGGGGTCTAAAGGTCGAGATAAGATCGGAGCCCTCCATGCCATTTTGCCCCCATGAAAAATTTCACTGGGAGAGGGAGTGGACTGAATTATGGCCCCCGAAAGAGATGTCCAGTTGGAACACATGAACATGACCTTATTTGGGAAAAAAAAAAGGCCCTAAATCCAATGTGTCTCTTTAAGAGACTGGACACAGTGAGAAAGGAGGAAGGCACACAGAGGGACATGCCAGGTGAAGGCAGAGACAGGAGGGAGGACGTGTCTCCCACCGAGGACCACCGCGCCCACGGGGAGCTGGGGAGAGGCCTGCAGCAGATTCTCCTCAGGGCCTCCAGAAGAGGCCAGCCCTGTCCAGACTTTGGCCTTCAGAAACGGGAGACAATGGATCTCTGCTGTGTGAAGTCACCGTGTCTGGGGCACTTGATTAGGGCAGCCCCAGGAAATGAACGAGGGCCCCGTTCTGGGTTTCAACACTGGTGGGGACAGACGATCTGCTTCCTCTGGCTGCAAGACAACTCCTTGGTGTTTTCCCCACTTTGAGTTGAAGTCCCTTGGCTTAAGCCTGTCACTTCCTCAACCAGGGAAACTGAGCGGCAGTGCAGAGGTGACTTTCAAGGTCATGACAGGAAGCGGCAGAGGCAATCCCTCACCCAAGAGGGTCTGATACACAAAGAGTGTACAAAGACGCCACACGACCAAGATTCTGCAGACCCAGATTCTAACCCAAGTTCTGCCTCTTACTCTCCATGTGCCCGTGAGCCAGGTCCTGTGGCAATACCTGGCTTTGAGCTCTCTGGGGTCCCTTCCACCATGACATCCCAGGAGACTGCAGCACCCCTCTCCCCAATCACAACCAGGTAGAGGCATAAGAAGGACGAGTGACAGCCTGGTGGTGGCTGGTGCAGCTCTGTCCACCAGCACAGCGCACGCCCGCACAGCCTCACCTGCCTGCCAAGGCCCCTGAGCCAGGAGGGTGGGTGAGGGCAACGGCGCAGGGCTGTACCCGTCTTGGCCACAGCGCACTGCAGCATCTCCCAGGCAGGATGCGGGCAGCAGAGCCTCCCCTCCTAGTCTGTACCGAAGAGAGTCACATGCTCCTGGTCTTAATTCAGTAACAAAATGTACAAGGAATTGATGCAATTGGTCCTTTTGGACAATTTATTAAGAAGGAGGGTTTTAGCACTCCCCCAACACACACGCGCGCGCGCGCGCACACACACACATTCTCCTTTATCACCCTTTCTTAGACTCTGAGTGTGTAATAAATTCGAAACCTGGGAACACCTACTTCCCCTCTCGCCCTCTTCCAGCTCTCCCGGTATCTATTCTGCATAATCCCTTGTGGATTATATTAGAATGTGCTATTTTAACCGAATCTACATTTAAACTCTGCTGGAACTTTCTCAGTTAAATTCCCGTCTCTGTCTTAGATGTTGACTTGCACAGAGGCAGGAGCAGAAACTTTAAGAATCACAAATGTGTTGGGGCAAAATTGACACTGGGTGGCCTTCTTGAACCTTTCATGCTTAAGCATGTTCTTCAAATGGGGTTTTCTTGGAGGAAAACAAAAACACAGGTTTCCCAAACTGCTGAGAATTTACCAGTGGGCAGAGAGGAATTTTCCTCTTCTTCCCCGTGGTCTGCCTCTGCCCTGGAGCAAAGTAACGGTCTGAAGCCCAACAGACTGCCCGTTCCTGGGCAGCAACTCCCATCCTATAACTTCTGAACAAGTCCCACCTTCTCCAAAATCAAGGCTGACTGACGGATTCTGCAGAGTCTTCTTTTTTGCAAGAAAAGCATCTTCAGGTGAACAAATCTAGGAGGTGGAGCAATGCCGTGGACCTAGTTGTGAGGACTCTCGGGGAGGGAGGAGGCTCTTTGGAGATGCGTCTACAGGAGTGGACATCCTGCAGTGTCAGGGGTTTAAATTAAACTGGGAGGAGGGGACAGACCAGCCCCGACGCCCGCCCGCCCGCAGTGCCGGTTCCTGGCATCATTTAGGTGCAGGGACCCAGATGACACTTCTGATTTTGGGTCCTGCCTTTCCAGCAGCAGTCTGCAACTTGCCGGTTTCCGGGCAGGACGGCAGCCGCTGAGCAGAAGGCAGAGGTAACTTTCAGGGAGGGGTGTGTTGATTTCGGGGTACAGAACAGCTCGTTCGAATGCCTCTAAGGTGGCTGGCAGAAAGATCCCCTCTCCTTTGGGTTTTTTTTTTTCTGAGGCTTTCTCCTCTAAGAAGCCGGAATCCTCTCCCTACACCATGCAGAAACTCTGGCCTCAATGAACTCCGTTCCTGGTTCTTCCCCGCATGGCTTTCCGGCAGAGCAATGTAGAGAAAGCTGAGTCAGTTGCTCCCGGGAGTCAATTTTAAAATGATTTTTATAAAGCCGTTTCAACTCTTTTTTTGGGGGGAGGGGGGGAAAGCAAGGGAGGGTTCTTTCTCAGGTTGATCTTATGTTTGCACCTTGTGTTTTAATCAAGCTACAATGAATATTAGTTGGTGGAGGAAATCGTGGTGATGGTTTTATGATTAAAAAAAAAAAAAACCACCCTACTCCATTGCAGTTACGCTGCAGTCCCAGCAACCTGGTTAGCTGCAGAGGCTCTCGCGGCGCCGCCGTCCTCTCTACCCTTGCCGGAGTCTGAGTGTCTGATCCTCACCCGAGGACTGCTCCAAGCACCCCGCCACGCACGGAGCCCCATCTCCTTGCCCACCTACCCTCTGCAAAGGACCCCGGTAAGTGAGCTGAGGTCGGGGACACTTGGGGTTTGGAGGAGAATTTGGACACTGCAGCTTTAAGAACGCCGTACTGCGAAATCTTTCTCCTTCAAGTGACTGCAGAACCGCAGCAGCGGCGGCGGCGGCGGCAGTGGCGCGGGGAGGAGGAGGAGGGGGAGGAGGAGGAGGAGGGCTCCGGGGAGACGGAGGAAGGGGATGCCCGCTCCCGGCAAGCTCGCTGGACACCTCCGACCGGGGAGCTCTCAGCCCCGGGCAAACCCAGGGCGCAGCCCGAGGTCCCCTTGGGTTAGTTTCCGTGTCCCCCACGCCGGGGGCGGGGACCCCGCAGACTTACTGAGGAGTTGACGCTCAGTCCCCGGCGGCGGGTGCGTGTCGTCCGCCGCGCGCGTCCGTCTGGCTAACGGGCTCTTTAAGCCGCGTGGGATGGGGCCGGGGAGGCGGGTCCGGTCTCGGTGGCGACCCTTCTCCTGCCTGGCTGAGCCCTGGGGGCGCCGCGGCAGCCTGCGTCCAGGGCGGACGTTTTCTTCCTTTCCTTCTTTTTTTTTTTTTTTTTTTGTTTTTTTTTTTCTTTTTTTTTTTTTTTTTTGGATGTTACTGAGATGAGCTTTGGAGGGAAACTCGAAAGAGGGATGATTTGTGACCGTAGGGGCGGAGACTGCAGCGTTTAGGAGCCGTGAACCCCCTTCCTGGGTGGCAGGTGTTGAGAGTGGGTGCCTGGGGTGCAGGCGTGGGGGAGGGGCTCCACAGGGGCGCGTCTAGACGGACTGCGCTGAGAGCAGCAGCGTATCCTGGGAAGAGGCACAAGCAGCCCCAGCCACCCGAGTTGTGCGTCTCTGGGACCCAGACTCCTGTGGGCCCTGGCCAAAAATCCTCCCCAAAGCTGACTGCTGCCTCTGTGAGTGGGCCAGCACTGCTGGGTGGCTTTCCCGGACTCCGTGGTGCGTGAGTCCCAAGTCTGCATTGGAGGTGAGGTCCTGCAGTGCCAAGGGTGGCATCTGCCCATGCGGTCCCAGATATCGAAAGGCTGAGCTCCTGGTGATTCTTCCCAAAGAAATGTATCTTTTTGACAAAAAAATTCTAAAAAATTCTAGATCTCATGGTACAACAGCTCAAAAGATGAGCAGCAGACCTCTTGGATATAAAGGATCCAGGTGAGCCCAGGAATCAGCAAGTGGGTGGTAACAGCCCAGGATGGCAGGGAGACATGACCTCCATGGTATCTGCATTGTTCTGGTTCTCCCCATAGAGAGGAGCCAGGTGATAAGTCACATCCTTATAAAACCTGTCTGCGCTCTGCAGGGAATGGCAGGCACTGAGTCTTCTTGGGGCATGAGAGGTGCCCGTACCAAATGCTGCAGGCATTTGGAGAAATGTGATCCCATAGACTAAGATTATACGGGGCCTTGGACTGCAGAATCGCCTATCTGGAAAACCACTCTGTGGGCCCAAGTAACTCCCTCCCCGCAAATTCGGAGTGTCTCCCTACTTGCTGGCTTCACGCTGCTCATTCTCTCCTGATAGCCCATCTTCTCGCTTCATTTTTAAGTACTTTCCCTGCGTATTTAGAACCATCTTTGTTTTCTACCCATTCATCTGCAGCAATTTTAATTTTCCAGACCAATATCCTTGGGTGCAACTGATTTTGAGCACAGGGCACCCAAATGAGTCCCACAACATCAGGGTCTTTTGGATTTAACATTGTGTGAGGCTAAAGATGGACCCTCCCTTGTGCACCATTAGGCTCAACCCTAGCCCACCCCAGCCCCTCTCTTCAACCCCAGGAGCTCTTAGGATGGGCCATCTGTCCCTGGACTTGTAGTTTCTCCTCCTCAAGGGATGGAGATTTTCAGGGACCCTGGACAGCAAGAGAATGAGCCTGACAGGCCCAGACACCTCTCTATTCCGTGCCTCCCTGCACAGCCTGGATGACAGATGAGCATCTTTTCTATCTGGAATTAGCCAAAGGAAAGGCCTGCTGGCACCAGCTGCAGAGCAAATGCCACAGTGGTCCCCAGCATGCAGTCTGTGTCTTCTAACTTCTGTCCTCCTATGTGGAGGTCAAATGAGACAGGAACTTCACAAATGTGCTCAGAACGGGAGCAGGTGACCCCTGAGCCCAGTCCTGACATTGCTGAGGCTTGTGAAATGAACTGCTCACACTGTGAAGTGAACAAGCAACTGCCTGGCTGCAAGAGGCCTCCTTCCTTTGGCAGGCACCGTCGGGGCCCAGAGTGACCAAATTGAGGTGACTGGGAAAGGAGGTGCAGCAGCCAAGGTGACACAAACCCCTCAGGGATGGGCAGGGTGGGGGGAGCTTGGCCTCTGCAGCCCTGGACACCTTCAGTTCTTAGGCCACAGAACAGGGAGGCCACAGCGGAGAGCTAGGCAGGCAGGAGATGAACCAGGACAGGAGGGCACAGCATTTTCCAGGTTTTCTGAGGCAGGAAGTTCAAGTGGTGACAGCCACCACTCACCCACATTACCTGCACGTGGGGCTGCCCTTGTTCCTGCCCACAAGTCAGATCTCATGACCTTGCACTGGGCACCACTGTCATTATCTGGGGGCTTATGTGGGCCTGAGTTGGGCTTGAAAAAGAATTCTATCTTTCCATCCGCCGGAGTTCTCAGAGCTGGACGTGTTATGGTGCAGGAATGTGGAGGCTAGTTCCCCAGTTATCAGGGGCATGAATGCAAGGGGCTGCCGAAGGTGCACGTTTGAGTTCGAGATTGCCATCCATCTCGCGCACAGACTCGCTGGAACACCTCCCAATGCGCCAGCGCTGACTCAGGGCCCTCTCCCCAGCTCTCTCTCCTTCCACCCGCGTCAACTGCCCCAGCATTGGCCAGCCAAGCCCTTGCCGCTGGGTTCTCCCGGGCTCCTTGCGCAGGGGCAGTTGGAACCCAGGCTGCAGCAGGCCCTCCCCCGCCCTCCCCGCCCGGGCCAAGTCAGCAGTGCTGACGGCTGCGGGGCTGCAGCGGCGGCGGCGATGCGGAGACCCTGCACCACTGCTGGGGCGGGCGCCCGCGTCCCGACGGCCACCTCCTGGCGGCTGCGCGCAGCCCGCGCCGAGTCCCGACCTGACGGCGGCGCTGATTGGTGCAGTGAGTGAGTTCCCTGCTTTATTTAGACCACCTTTTCTCAGGACAGTACTTCACTGGAGTTGAAGGCTGGGACAGGAGACAGGCTTCCCCCCGGCGAGAAGGCTGATAAATGGGGAGTTCTGCTCCTGGGTGCCGGTACCCACTGGCTTGCGCATCTTGAACCCACCAAGTCCACAGCGCTTGGGACTGAGCACCCATCAATTGCGGAGCTGCTTTGGGGAAACTCCAGCCACCAGCCATCAACAAGCCAGACCCTCGGAAGGGTTAGGAAGGCTTTGCGAGGAGCCAAAGGAAGCTGTGTCCCCTGCCCTGGCTTTGGAGCTCCTACTCTGAACCCTGGACTCCAATTTGGAAGACAAGGATGCCCTTCTGGTTGGGGGGTAAGGAAGAGATTCAGGCATCTTTTGGGTGAGGGCAAAGGGACCTTCTGGAACCCGGTCCTTGAGTGCACCCACTCTGCATTTCTGGGACAGCCTATGGAGACAGAGGCTCCAACGTGTTGGGGGAAAAGCTTTTCCCCCACGATGTCATGTCGTTAGTCATAGAAGGTTGAACTTGGATGTAGAGGAAGTCCAGCTTCCCCTGCAGAGGGAAACAGAGCCAGCAAATGTGGGTGGGGTCCAGTAGCTTCTGACCCTTAGGGTCATGGGATGCGCTTAATGTGGCAGGAGTTAGGGGCCTGGGGACAGAGAGGGCAGCCCCAGGGGGTCTAGACAGCACCTTCTGCCTGGCATGGCAGCCTCTGGTCCACATTTTTATTTATGCCAGTGGCATGAAAATGCTTCCCAACTAATCCCCAGGGGCCCTTCTTGGCAAAAGCGCTGTCTCCCGGCAAGATGGGAAGTGATGTCAGCTGCGCACACCGGCGGGCTCTTCTGGGGTGGCTCACAGTTGTGAGACGGTTTGGGGACTGAGGCCTCTCGATGTCCAGACCCTGAACTTCTGCTGGAAGAACTTCCACCCGGGTGGCTGCTTTTCCCTGTGCCCCTGCTTCAGGTTGAGTGTCTCCACCGTGGTGGCTGCCCTTGGAACCTGCATTGCGCCAGGAGGAGGGAGGTTGAAGAGGAGGAGGAGGTGGAGGTGGAAGGGGTGGTGGGGCCTGCAGAACCTGCTCTGCACC